ATCTAATTAATATAATATATAATTTTACTTTACGATAACATATTTTACTAGTTTATTTCAAAATAATAATAATATATTACGAATCAAATTGGCTATTTAATAAAATAATTTAAAAAATTATCGACGAAACAAATTATTATTATTATTTTTTTTTTTTGCATATGCATCTAAAAAAGTGATTTTCGGAATGAATTCATTCATGAATCTTTTAAATCATTTAAAAAACATTAGCTCTATTAACAATTCCGTACGGGATTGCAATAATAAACTTCTGGAATTGGTTGCATGCATAAAAGTGCCAGTCCATTTTTTCCTCCAAAAATAATTATCGCATAGTTAGGGAGATCATCCATACTAATAATACTGTTTGAACAAATATTTAAACGTCAAGAAAGGTTTTTTGAATGTCAGATCTTACATATTTATTAATATTTATTTTTTTAAATAAAATAAGCATTCCTTTATGTTGTAACTTTGGTGGAAATCTGTTGTATGCATCAGTACCAATCTGAGCTGCACAAAATTTATTGTGTAGATTAGTAATGATCGTTAACATATGCTTATTACTTCTCTTAATTTGGATGCTAGGTGAGATTTTAAAATCATGGAAGCAGAGAAATCACGGATTTCTTTATTCATTATACGATAATGGGAAGAATTGATATTTGATTTATCTATAATTTTAGAAGCAAATGTTGGAACAGAATCTTTTTTATCGTAAAAGCAAAGCGTGATTCGTTTAGAACAAATTATACTAAATTCTTACAGAATTTGCAATTTAATAAGTTCGCATAATAATTGGTATATTCTGTAGTTATAAATTGTGTTCATTCCTATTCTGGTATGTTCCGAATTGATTTTCATGAATTTTATTTTAAATATTTTTAACCAATCAAAAAAATTGAACATAAAATCCTTTGACATTTGTGGCTTTTGTAGAGGAGGTATACGACGTTGATAAAATATGTTCATGAAAACAAAGAAAACCAAAAGGGTCTGACTACAGGTATTCTGAAGTGATTAGCTCAAAACAAGTTGGTTTTTTTTTTGATTTTTTTTTTTTCGGAAAATCACGTCGTCGTACATACATAATGATAATGACCATACATCGGGCCAATAATGAACCTTAAAAGATTTAATACAGAAATTCGGGGTTTTCGATCATTATTTCCCTATATATACGGGATGAATTTTCATACTTTTTTTTTTTAAAAAAAAAAAATAATATCGTCATGCCAATTTTCTTAAAATCAAAGGTTTTATATTTTAGCTTACTTATATTATTAAGCTCGATACTTCTGAATTATTATTCGTCAAATGTTGATTATGATTTAAATTATGATTATACGAATGATGGGAACTATTTACCAGCCCCGATTTTTGATCTTGTATTATGGATGAAGAAAAAATTTTTGTGAGTATCTTTCCGATAATAATTTTAAAAAAAAATAAATAAAAATTTGTTTTCAAAGAAAATATTTAAATCACGTTAGGTTACTACCGAATTACTTGTTTTCACCACAACATTTGATGGCAGGCCATATTTACGATTATCTAGTACTCAACGCATTATTTGAACTAGCGAATTTAAGAATAGCTGATATTATTAAAAGAGAGGGAGGCAAAGTGTCTGTGAAAAGGTTGGCCGAATTAACTGACACAAATGAAGATGTTTTAGGCAGATTCTTACGAGCGGTATCAACAAAAGGAATCTTTTATAATCATGGTGATGGGGTCTATTCGAATAATCGAATGTCATCGGTCTTAAGAGATGATCATCCAAATAGTGTGAGGTTAATTATCGAGATGGGAATTGAAGAATTCTTTAAGGCTTCTAATAACATTGGTGTGACGTTTAAATATCCAAATAAATGGGACGATATTGATGGTGATGTGGACAAACATGAGGATAAAATAAAAGAAATTGTCACCCCTTGGAAGAAAACTTTTGGCATCGATATATGGGAGTATTATGCTTTGCCGGAAAACAAAGATAAATTAGAAAGATTCAATCACGCAATGATTCACTCGAATAAGATCATTGGCAATGGTCCTTTTATTGGTAATGTATTACTTTCAATAGATACCTTGATTGTTTGTTTACTTTAAATGCTCGTTAGTGTTTACTTATGTTTTAAAAATAGACTATGATTGGAGATTAAATGAGAATTCAACAGTTGTTGATGTTGGTGGTGGAAATGGCGGAACGTTAGTAAAATTATTAAGTAAATATAAAAAAACGAAAGGAATCATTTTTGATCTTCCTATAGTGATCGAGCATACTCAAAAGGTACGACGGATATGAAAAATAAAATGCCGTTATTATATGTTTAATAGAAAATAAAAAAATAATTTTTTCTTTTTTATATATATACGTTTAGGTAATGAAGGAAAATATACATAAGGAACTTTCAGAACGGATGAATTTTATCCGGGCAGCTTCTTTGTGGATCCACCACCAAAAGCGGACGTTTATTATTTAAGATGGATTTTACATGATTGGAGTGACACAACGGCCGTTAAAATTCTTAAAAATCTTCGATCAGCGATTTCTCCTTCAGATGTTCCGACCAAATTAGTTTTATTAGAAATAATTATGGACAAACCAATTCGTGACGATTTCCTTACTCAAATGGATTTAGCGATGTTATGCACTGTTTTTGGTAAAGAACGCACAACACAAGAATTTATTAAGATTTTAAAGAAAAGTGGATGGAAATATGTTAAACACGTAAATTCTAGAGGTTATTAGCGTTATTGAAGCCGTACCTGATTTTGATTAGACAATAAAAAAGAAAAAATTTTTATTATAAATATAAATGAACAGTACATGATAATTATTAAGTCTCTTATATCTTTATTATGCAAAATAATTTTAAAGTACGATAGAGTGGAAATAAATTTCTTTATATTTGTTTCTTCACCAGTTAGCAAATGGTCGTCATTCTCTCGATGTAAGGTTTCAAATATAGCGTCATTTTCATTCAGTATAAATTTGAAATTTTCAATTCACTTGAAGAAAATAAAATAATACTTTGCTAATGAATCCTTTATTTAGACACCCAATACAGAGAAAATACTCCAATTGAATATTTTGTCGTCATATTATGCGGCTAGAAATATATTAATTAATATACTTATTATAAAAATATAATTAATATCAAAAAAAAAAATATATATATATATATATATAAAATAATTTTTACGAATAGACAAAAAAGTATGATAAATTTTGTGTGTATGAAACTAAGCTTGCCTTTATTTATAGACCGGTTCGTCACGTGAACTAAATAAAGCATTGTGACCGTAGCAAAGCCGTGTGAGATTTCCATTCTACCACAACCTATAATTATATAAAAAAGAAAAAAGTATGGTTCATCTCATCGACAAACTCACCGACATTAATTTCACCTAGGGACATTTCACCGACAGGATTATTTCTTCAACAAATATTCTATCGACAGGTTATTTTCACCAACGTGAATCTAAGGCATTATATATACATATATACATGAATTTTTTTTTATTTTAAGTATCCAAGTATTATAATCGCGCATGCATTAAATTATTGCAAATAATTTAAAAGATTTATTAGATTTTAAGTGAAATAAACCTGTCGTCAGTGTCAGTAAAGTGATAGGGGCTGATTTTACGATTTTAAACAATGAATTTACTAATTATTATTTCTTAATATATAATAAATAAACAAAAACCCTTCTTTCGAATAGCTAGCTGCTAATTTAGTCCTCGATATGATTACATGTTCCGCAATTATTGCGTATTTTCACACTGCGCTTTTAACTAACTAGCTTCGTTTCAATTTGACGGTCCAATTTCAATTTTAAAGAATATTTTAAATAAATATGTGCATTAAATTTATTATTTATTTAAACTATCAATTATATGTCTTTTGTGAATAATTAACTTATAAAAAACTATTAGTATTTTTAGTTCTTATTTTTTGAAATTTAATGAGCTGTACTCCCTAGAAGTATGTAATAGAAAATTTAATCTTTTTTAACTTTGGGAACAAAAAGAACTACAAAAATATAGATGATTTAAGAGGTATTAAAATTAAATAACATGGGTAAACGTTTTTAAATTTATACTATAATTATAACATTATGATGATTGAAATAATTCCAACGTCATACGTTTAAAGAATCTCGAAAAAAATTCTGTACCAATTTTGATGTTGGTTTTTCTGCTTGCATAGTAAACGACGAGTTATCGTTTGATTTCTGAATACCAAAATTATCCCATTTAAGGTTAAAATAAAACATAGATTCCCTTTCTATTATAAGGCCCCTAATTTTTTTTCCTGTAGGGAAGATTGCGATAACTGAACGATTTCATTATGCATTTTTATTGAAAATAACATTTACGTAATTTGAAGTATATAATCGATGTTCTTTAATAAATTAGAAATCATGTGACTCGATTGTGATTTTGAATTTTAAATTTGCCATTTACCTTTGAATAAAAGTATTAATATCATGCTATGACTATAAATAACGAAAGTAATGTAAATAAATGAATTTAGCGGATATATTATCACTTATTGCTATTATATACTATTGAAAATTTTATCAATACTAGCGTGTGTAATTATCGACTCACAAGGGCATTATAAATCATTTAAAAAAAAAGCTTAATTGACGAAATATTATACATATGCAACTTGTAACTAAATTTATTTTGGATAGCTAAATAAAACGATTAAAAATATACTTCGTAATATATAAAAAAAAGTATAAAATTCTGAATAAATGTTAAAATTTTCTGAAATTGAATTATCAATTCAAAAACGAATTTTTGGAATCACTTGATGATTTAATTTGCTTTTCTAAATATTTTTTTGGAAGGTGATATTAATTTAAATAATATAATTTTAAACTAATAAAAAATTATTACTTACTATTTACTTGAGTTTTAGCTTCTATTTCTTCATTCTTTCGTTTTTTTGAAGTATTTGGTATTGGATGTTGAGTATTCGAAGTATATTGGATTGTAGAATTTACATTTATTGTTTGTCTAAATGTAATTGAAAAGATGATTGTTAATACTTATTGTGTGAAAATAATTTTTTTTTTTAAAGAAAACAATATTTTTCAAAATATAGAATACCTTGGAGTATCTATATTAAACTCATACTCTCGTGAAATATATTCTAAAGATAAAGATAAAATTAAAAATTAATATATAACCATTATTTGTTTCCTTAAATTTATTTTAGAAAATATTATTAAGGTTAACGAACGACAATATTTTAAGACAAATATAGTAAATATTATACGCACCTTGTGTATTATTTGATGAATTTAAGGAAAAGGACATAGAAATTAAAGAACTTAATGCCCTACTTGTATAGATTGCTTTTGGATGTTTTTCAGTAAATTCAGGACCAAGTTTCTTCAATTTCATTAATTCTTCTCGTTTTTCTTCAGCTTGAACAAATATTTTCTCATTGTTTTTTCTATTATTCCAACCACCAACAATTTTACGTATTTTTTTTATAGATGGTCGGTTTGAAGGATTAGAATCCCAACATCTTTCCATTAAATCAGCATAACATTCAGGAGTATCAATTGTAATTTCAGGACGTTTTTCATCAATAATTTCATAAATAAGTCTATGATCATGTTCAACATTATAAAATGGTTTACAACCTGTAGTAAGTTCCCACATAATCATACCTACACTATAAATATCGGATTGTTTTGAAAATGGTGCGCCTTTAAATATTTCTGGTGCAATGTAAGGAATAACTCCATATATTTCATTATTTAATGGTGTATTATTTGCAGGTTGTGATAATCCCAGATCTCCAATTTGCCATTGATAAGGTTTAGTATTCTCTTCAACGTATAATATATTTCCACTATGAACGTCTCGATGTATAAGTCCCTTATCATGAATTGTTTCGAGCCTAATTTCAAAATATTATATTTTAATAAATGTAAAATAATAAGAAATAATATTATCAAAAAATATATTTTTACCCATCTAAAATATTAGATAAAATTCTTAAAATTCTAAATTTTTTCTTATTCCATGATATCTCTGTAAAGTTCTTTTGTAAATGATTATGTAAATCTCCACCTGATGCATAATTCATTACTAACATATAATTATTTGTTACGGGATCTTTTGTAATACCATAACATCTTATAACACGATTAATATTTCTATCAAAACAACAATGATGATACGAACTTAACTAAAAAATAGCATCATTTAGATTTAGATTATTTGAAATTATTAATAAAATTACATTTCGATATAAAAATTACCTCATTTAAGAAATACTTGCTAATATCTTTGGAATTTGAAACCATTTTTACAGCAACAATTTCATTTTTTCTATAGCTAATACCAGAACTATTATTTTTAACTTTAGGTATTTCACCTAAATAATTTGCTTTATAAATAATACTGAATCCCCCTTCTGCTATTTTTTTTAAATTCGTAATATGAGAATATGGGATCCAATTTATTACAAACGGTGAAAAAAAAGGAATTTTCAAATAAACATTATATAACGTTAATGGATTAAAATTATTCAAAATACTTTTTATATTTAGAATATTAAATTTTGATTTGAGAATAAACTCATCTATATTAATGTTACCACTGCTTATAAATGATGTATCATTGCTTACTGGTGATTTATCAATAGTTATAGTCGTTTTTCTTTCACATTTTCTACATTGAGAATTATCTGTAATTCCAAAAATCATATTTGTTGTCAAACAATATCTACATCCATTATAAGTTATCGAGCAATAAAAACACCATTTGAGACAATCAGTTTCAGCTTTTAGTTGTTTTCCACAATTTATACAACAATATGTTTGATCCCACCATGGTAAATATAGAATTAGAATATGCTTTTTAGTCAAAATTGATTCTAACCATTCGGTGGAAATTTTATAACAATATGAACATAACAAGAAATCCATAAAATAATCTATCGTTTGATAAACTGATTTTCCACATAATTTACAATCCTTATTATTTTCTAATTGTTGATAATAACCGGTACTAAGGCTACTACGATATACTTGTTTGAAATATAATATTTCGGAGCAAAATTCACACCATTCATGAATTTTTTGTGTGCAAAAATCTGCATTTCTAGCTTCATGTTCATTACAATGTACATTCTTTGTAACTATAAGTACATCCAAATAAATGTTGTTTTTATCAACACAACCAATATACTTCGAAAAGCATCTTTTACAATAAAATTGTTCAAATAAACGTGTTTTAGAGTATGCATTCCCACAATGACAATAATTATACTTGTCTGTTAAAGGAATAAACGTAATTGGTACAGGACTGGATTTTAATTTTGGAATTGGGTCAAAAGAACTTTCATTATTTGTAATTGTTAGTTCCATTTTTTAGATTAATAGAATTTGAAATTTGAAATTTGAATAATTTAACATTATTTTACTTTAGAAAATCATTTCCGATTCTGGTTAAACTTTAGAAGTGTTGCTTCGAATATCCTTGTGAAATTCCAAATTTAAATTCTAGAATTATTCTTAAATTGGCAATTTGGGATTTTGAAGAAATTCTTTCATTTTTTCTAGAATTCTATTGGAAATTTGTATATTTATTTTCTTATGTTTCAAGAACAAATTGTTTATGCAAGTAGGGGAGTACATGACATAACTAACGAAGAAAACACATTTAGATGCGTGATAATCGTTACTTATGCACCGAAACATCATCTGGAAGGTGTCAGAATTTAACTTCCGAAAATTTAAATCTTGATTGATATCTTTGCTAAAATTTTAAAACTTAACAAGTTTCGCTCAATTTGATCTCCAAATGAAGTTCACTGTGATAATTTCGGATTTTAAAAACATGGTTTCGACCAAAACATTAGTATTGTTTAAAAATTTTGGTAATGTATGTTGATTTTTATTTTAAAAGTTACAATTCACATAAATTTATATATAATCACGTGAATCTGGTTATTATTTTGATCAAAATAACAAAAATAATTCATGAATAACAAAAAGTCTAATTATAATGTACTGGTTGTTGCCAAAATTATTATTATTATTCCTTAATTTCTTTACTACGCCGTCGTGTCGATCATTTTTATGGGTCTGAAATCAAGAATTCCCAAATCGGAAAAAGGCATGAAATAAATTTTCGAATTCCAAATTCCAAATTCTATTTTTTATTAATATAACATTCGAAATTAAAATTCTCTCATTACCAATTACATTTATTCCTTTATTCGATAATGTTAATTGTCATTACGGAAATCGAAAGTTTTATTTAACCAAAAAAAGTTGCTTAAGTAAAGTTTGGCGTAGAATTTGCTCCGAAAATTTATATTTCAAACAAAAATACGTTACGTTCCTGTATCTAGTTTATGGGGAATGAAAAGGGGTTGGTTTATTGGTCCATTTGACCGATCAGTCATGTCCATAAAATTAAATTAGGAATTAAAATTAGTAAAATTTTCAGATTTTACTGACGTCCTCCCATATACTAAACTACTTGTTCCGATTTATATTTACCATGGGATCAAACAATTTCTTGTAAAAATTATAGAAAGTTCTAAAGGCTGAAACAAATTGTCTCAAATGGTGTTCATACTCAAATGGAAGTAGATATCGTTTACTAGCAAATATTATTTTTGGCATCACAGCGCTTATTATTGATGCATCAGTTACTAGCGGTTGGGAACAATGATATAGAATATAAAAGTTTGCTGATTTTGTGGATAGTATTATGAACGATTCTAATCCATAAAAATGTATATGAATATCTTAAAGAGAAAACTATCCATTCACATTCACGTTCTTTAATTAAATGGATGACATTTTCAGATGTAAAACAAATGTAAAAAGGTGATTCGTCATTATTTATAAAGCAAATTATTTAGGTAAAATACTTAAATTTAATAATTATTTATATATCAACTATAGGGAAAATGAAACTATTGTTATAAAAAGTTTAAAAATTTAAAAGATGTTAGCAAGTATTTTTTAAATGAGGCAATTTTTTCATATACAAAATGTAATATTAATTACGATTAATCTAAATTATGTTACTTGCGAAGTTCACAATCATCGTTGCTATTGTGATCGTGCTAGAAATTTTGTTGTAATACAAAAGTATCTACGCAAGTAGAGCACTAAGTTCTTTAATTTATTATGTAATTATCCATGAATTCATTAAATATTACACAAGGTGTTTGTCATAGTAACTATTTTGAATTGTGTCATTTATTATTAATATTTTATTAATTAATTCATGAATTACAAATTCGTAAATTTAGCTGATAAATGAAAAGGAGTTCTAATGCATAATTATTTTTTTTTCATATTTGTACCTTTATCAATTTCAAATCTCTCCTCCGGTTACGTTACAAAAGTAAATACATTGTTTTCTAGATAGTTACTTTATAAATAAATGTGGCTGTCACTTTCTCGTGTAACATATGCATATTTGTTACTATTTCGTTTATTTTGATTGATAAGCAAAACAAAGTTGCGATGATAATCTATTAATGCATAATTAATTGGTGATTACAATGAGTTGAGTTTTTACTGTAAAAGGTAATAACATTATAACGATTAATAAATACCCCCCTTTCTTTTCATTTTACTTTTAATCATTTTTTGTCACAAATTTCCTTTGTTTTATTTTATCTTTTTTTATTAACATGGAAGATAAATTTTGGCCGGAAATCATAAACGACTTGAAATTATTACTCGAAACAAAGAGTAATCAAGATGTATGTATAAAAGCAGGAAAAGAATCGGATTATACAGAATTCTATGCCCATTCAATTATACTCAGTTGTCGATCTCAATATTTTCGTAATATACTTACAACCGATTCGATTGAAAGAAAAGATGGAAAGTACATTATGAAAAAGCCCAACATTACTTCAAATTCTTTTAGAAATATCTTAAGGTGAGGTTAGGAGGATCATGTCGCTCTTCTTGTTTAAGGATTTTTCACTTAACCCCTTTTTCTCCCTCTCGGCCCGTGTCGGTAAATTTTAGTTTCCTTTATATAGGAAAGGTGGTTCTTGATCCGGAGAATGGGGTTGAGACGCTTAATTTATTGATAACGTCAAATGAATTCGGATTACATAAATTATCGCAGCACGTAGCGGATTTTTTGATTCAACACCAAAGAAATTTTATCCAAAAAGATCCGATAAAGATTATAGAAATTGTGTATTCACATGATCTGTTCATCAACCTTCGAGAATTTTGTTTAGATGTGATTTGTTCCGACCCAGAAATACTCTTGGCCACAGATAAGTTCAGTTATTTATCGGAAGAAATAGTGACACAATTATTGAAAAGGGAAGATATATCATCTATTAAGGAAATCACAATATGGGAAAATATAATCAAGTGGGGAATGGCAAGGAATCCTACGATAGATTTTGATGTTAACAAATGGACAAAAGATGATACGGTATTAATGAATCGTACCATAGGAAAATTCATACCTTTAATTCAATTTTATGAGATGTCTGCCGAAGATTTTTTTAATAAGGTCTTGCCTTATGAGGAATTAATACCAAGAGAACTTAAGCAAGAGATTCTCAGAGCTCACATGTTACCCGGATCAGCCAAAACAGCACCGAAATCATTTAGAAACTATTCAGATGTTAATTCCATTGAATCGGTTTCGACGACGGAACCAATTCGTCGTCAAAGTCTGATAAAAATAGATTCGACGATAATAACCACACAACATGCGTTAATCTTTTCGAATTGGATAGATAGGAAGTTTAATGGTTATCAAAGTTTAAAAATGGCCCCTTACGAATTTAATTTATTATTGCGTGGGAGTCGAGATGGTATGGACTCAAAAAAATTTCATAAATTATGCGATAACAAAGGTCCAACGATTTTGGTGATTAGAGTAAAAAATTCTCGACAAATTGTTGGAGGGTACAATGCTTCTGAATGGGATTCTTCGGATAGCACAAAGTTCTCTACCGAATGTTTCTTATATTCGTTTGCGGATTATAATAAACTCGAAACCGGCACAATCGGACGTGTAAAATCTCATGGTTGCTCCGTACGTTGTTATAAAGATTGGGGTCCCATCTTTGGTAATTATGAAGGTGGTAACGACCTAGTCATGAAACGCAAGACCGAATGGAAATCTAAACCTGTTTCTTACCCGAACATCAATATTCCCAAAAAATTCAATTGTTCTGATTATGAAGTTTTTCAAGTTAAAAAAAAGGCTTAACTGAATAAACGTTTTGATGGGATATCGGTAGATATCCTTTTGGGTTGGGAAAAGATGATGGATATTTTTAGGCGGATCTTTGCATGATGTAATAATCATTTTACTTATAATAGATGTATGTATATGTATAATTGCGAGAATTATTTTTTTTTATATTGTCTTTTGGTTAACTGTACTGCGCCTGTTTAGCGTAATCACAAATAGATTAACTAGCAAAACAAGAAACCATTCTTTTAAATTACATTTTAATTTTAACATTGTAAAATACCTTAAGAAAAGGCTATTCATGTTAAATAAAGAATTCACGTTCATTACTATATAAAAAATACGCAAATTTAAATAAAAAAAAAAAGGCACAGGTAATGTACCTTAATAGTTAAATGAAGCAATGCAAATCATCACGTGGTAACTAGACTCCAGATTTACCACGTTTTTTTTTTTTTTTTTTTTTTTTTGATAAATTAAATAATTAGTTCACGGAAGAACTGTGACAAGATGCAATGCTCATTGTTGTAATATGAAGCTACTTCTATAAAACTTACTAATTTGTTATGTGTTTCTAATTATGAAGACTCTTACGGGGCGCTGAGTATTGAATGTAGATGTTGATAATCTCTATTTCCATCGTTCATTCAGCTTGCAATTACAGTACTTCTTGTAGATGCATTGTCGATGGGGTTCTGCAAGTAATGGATATTTTATTTGTACGGTATATCTTGTGATTAGTTTTAGGATTCCCGTTTCTTTTTTCAACATGAAACCTAATTTTTGTATTTATGAATCTTGCGACTTTGATTAATTTGTACCGTGTGCTTGCTGTCGAGTCCGTAAAGATCAATCAAGATAATTATAAATCAATCAATGGATTTTGAAAGTTTATCATTGAAACATTTGATGTAATATACTTCATATGCAGTATTAAATCTTGTGAATAACGTGCAAACGAGAAGTTCTAATTTCTTATTAGCAAACATTTTACCGGACATTTATGAAAATAATAAAGAAAGATGAAAAGAAAATGAATGTAGTCATAAAATTAATAAAGAAATTGCTCATAAAGGTATTAAGAGATATAAGGAATGAGTGTAAAACTAATTTTCACAGTGTCGAATTTAAATGTCACATGACCCGCATTTCTTACAATTGATAATTGGCAAAGAATTTTCCTGACAAACTTTTGAAAGATTGCAAAGTTCCATGGTTAAAATTAAGATAATGCAAAATAAAATCAATTTTGGTTGAAAGTGCCTTTTGAGATCGTCCCACTTATTAAATACATCATGTTATCAAGAAAGAAAAAACCGTCAATAAAAAAAATCTATATGATTGCAAATGAATATTATACAAATGTATCTTTGATTTTTCTCATTTCTTCGGCAGATATAAAATCAGCGTCATTTCATTATTGCTTTTTTTTTTTTCCTACTTTCAATTAAAATAAAAGAAAAGGTTTAAGCATTTTGAAAAAATGGAAACGCATTATAATTTACTTTATATTTTCTTAGTCCTCGTATCATTCGTAAAATCAATTCCATTAATTTTACGAAAAAGGAGAATCTCACTTTCTGGCTTTAAATCGTGCAAAGTCGACTTCCCAATTACCTTTCTAAATTATCTATTACTCCAGATCCAATTATCTCAGGACAAAATATTACCATTCATACGTTGAACTACTACCGTTGTATTGAAGAAGATGCATTAATTCATGATCCGAGGAGAAGCTGAATTTGAATTAGATTTTTGTAAATTATTTCGACTTGGTTAATAGAGGATGAACCTAAAAAATATTGTAACATAAAATGAATGGTATTATTACCATATATTTTACTTATTATTATTTAAAGCGGACTTGTGTATCTGCCTTATGAGCGAGTTGACAACAATGCGAAAGCGAATATAATCAGTGAATTTCACTATTGAAAAATAAAAATTAAATCTTGAATTAATTTTCATTCTTGATTTTTTATAAAAAAATATTCACTCGTCGCACAAAAACCATATTTTGATTGGTCAGGAGTAGATGTGTTTATTTCCTCAATTATATCGTTGCGATGTATAATATATATTAGCGATGTCTCTAAAAAAAAAAAAAAAAAAAAACATGTCGGCCGTCCTGGAACAGTGCGGACACGTGATTTACTCCGATTAAAATCAAAAGGCTTTGTCATTGGGAAGTGAGGATACAAGGGAAACATTCAATAAAACAGAATTATTTTTTTTTTTTTAACGTGACAAATGCACTTATTTCATTTTTTTTTTTTTTTGTTCCTATGCCAAATTTATAATAATGGGCTGTGACATTGATATTTTTCTCTTTTACTGAAGTATAGCAAACAAATTTCAAGGAAATGTTGAGACTCGTCCTCAAAAGTCTGAATAGATGTGACCTTTTTTGATTTCGCAGTTGACTTACATCGAATAGCAAAAACATTTAGAGTCAAAAAGATGATTTTGTAAAAAGGCATTGCACTAAGCTCGAGTCACCTTTGTTGAATCATAAAAGTGAAAGGGAAGATAATCTAGCTGTCAGAAATTATTTGGGATAGTTACTGATGCCGAAAATTAAACTTTATAGAATGCTCGTTGGATGACAAGATAGGCTGAGGTTCAAATTATTGAAATCACTAATCATTATGTACGATAACTATGAATCAAGTGGTGAGCAATTGGGAGAAATATAAAGGGCAAGGTCATTGATTATTCTTGTGGAAGATTCGAGTAATATAGTGATAAATAGTAGAAACATCATATATCACAGATAGTACTCCGTAAGGGTCGGGTCGGGTCGGGTTTAAGGAATACTCGAACTCGAACCCGTTAATAGTTACAGAACCCGAATTCGACTCGACCCGATCATTGTTCGACTCGGATTCGACTCGACCCGATTATTGTTTAACCTGGACTCGACTCGAAATCTCAAGGGTTGCTTTATGCTAGCTTAATGGACTGTGGTTTAATATATAGAAAAAAAAAATTTAAATACATACCTGCGTCTCGAACATTTAATTTATTACTTTTTTAAACTTATTTATTTTTAATTTTTTTTTTATAAACAAGAAAATTCTTGAAAATAAAGAATTATTTTTTTTTATTTTTAAATATTTCAAAATTTTTCTTTTATCTACAGTTTAATTAATAAAACATTGGAGTGGGAGTAAAAAAATAAAAAATAAAACAACGAAAGCATTTATTCTAACAGAACCGTCCGATTTCGAAGAGGAATCTAAAGAAAAAAGAAAGGGGCTCAAGATTTTATAAAAATCATCAATCGCTGCGCCTGAATCACCCGCAGAGTTGTCATTTCAAAAAAAAAGCTGTAAATTGAATTTGTTGGTTAAATTCCAATTCCAAAAAAGTAGTAAACAATAAACTTCTACATATTAGGTTAAGAAAAACGGTGAGAAGCTTTACAGAATTTTTTTTCATTTATAAATATTTTATATTAATGCTGTATAAAAAAAAAGAGTTATATAAATTTTATTTTATTTTTTAAAATTTATTATTTTTTTTTTTTTTGTGTATTAATCCTAATTGTTTTTTTTTTACATCTTTTTCCACCGAATTGTATTAGCTTTAAGACCACTTCTTTTGGTCGATATCAGATCGGTTCCGCCAGAATAAACTTGTTCTAAACGAGAATCTGACCCGGCGGGATTTTTTTGAATTAGGACTCGTGTCATAAAAATGAAAGTCTCGACTCGAGAAAAAATTCGAGTCGGGTCAAACAACCCGGGTCGACTTGATCGTTTCGGAGTACTAATCACAGATTAAGTCTCAATTCATATAATGAATTCTGTAACTTTGTATATTTACATAGCATGCCACTATATTGTAAACCGCAAAATAACGCATAATAAAGATTTTTTATATAATATATCAAATTCGATGTTTATTTTTCTTGAATGAATATCTGGTTGATATACTCCATAAGTTGATGTTAATACTTAATCAAGTTTCTTTACAAATGAAACTATCGATTCAGAACTTGATATTTGCACATAACACTAGAAATATTTTATATTTTATATAGACGACATCATGTATCACAGGAGTAAGTTACATTTTTTATGTCAAAATTTTTTATTATAAATTAAGAAGTGTCTGATGATATTTCTCCAAAGATTGATTCCAAAATCAATATTGTAAATTTATCAAAAGTGAGGCACTAGTTAAACCCCTTTTATCCGCCTTGTGCAAGCGAAAAATAATAAATCTGATCCAACTTACTATTTAATGAAAGGTATATCAATAACACTTCGATTATAAACATCATCATAATGATAATTAATTTTTCTGGCTATATAGATGTTCAAAGTCAAAGCGGAGCGGACAATATTATCATTCTTGATCTTTTTATCGACAGATTAGAGAAATATCACATGACTGTAATTTACCGGATGACGAGATGCATAAGTTAACTTTAACTACAATAACCATATCCCTAATTTTATGAAATTGAGAAGAAATATGCTGAGAGACATAACAACAACGAATAAATAAGATGCTTGTTGCTAATTCTTCGATTTGCTTCGTTATAACTCGCTATCGTCTGACAGTTGATTTTTAAAAAATAATTTTTTTTTTTTTTTTTTTTTTGAGACCTTTGCAATAAAACTGTGGAAAACTAAAAAAAAAAATCTCGGCCCGAAAGTCATATTTGGCATATAAAAGTAAAATTGCTTTTTTCCAGCAGTTTCCCACTTTCGATTGGAAAATGAACGACAGTAATTAGCAATATTGAGTGATCAATTGTAAATTCTTTCTTGTATTTTTTTTAAAAAATATATATATATATATGTAATAAAAAATCTAACTCAGAGAACTAACTTGTTTGACGATAAATCACGAAGACTAAATAAAAGAGCTTATTTGATAATAATTTATCTACAAATATTTTTCAAATGAACGAAGCAATTTTTTAAATAGAATTCTATAGCAAATAGTTGAACTAACGTTTATTATTACGAACCTGAAGAAAGAACCCTAAACAAAGGAAAGCA